TGCTGGTGAATAAGGGTTACAAACAAGGACGAAACAGCTATCCAGTACTCCTCACCGGTTTTCGATGCTCCTCTAAATGAAGTTCGTTCATGATCTAACTTCAAATCATCGACCATATCCCTGCTCACTAGGACTTGAAAAACAAAATAACAATGTACGAAAATGTACTTGAGAAAGAACTATTAGAGGTAAGTGGTTAGTTGACATTTCCAGAATTCAGCAGGTAATCAGGATTTAACACATCTGAATTAAGGAGAATGATTTTAAGTCATTTCTTTCCAAAATTATACCAGCCATGACTGCTCGACGACGAAGTCGTCTGCTAGTCATGTATAATATATATATATATATATATATATATATATATATATATATTCAACAGTTGGAAACTTCTCCTATTATTAGAAGTGTTAAAATGAAAAACACTCATTTAATTACTGAATTCAATGAAGTACTTTCGGCTATGAAATTCCCATACGAAGAGGAATCCCAAGACAGAATTACCTTCCTGGATGTTCTCCTTACAAGAAAATCAGATGGTAGCATACAAAAAAGAAATTTGCATAGAAAAAGTATTTGGACAGGACAATATACAAATTTTCACAGCTTCGTTCCTCTCCAGTACAAAAGAAATTTAGTGAAGACCCCCACTAAACCATAGAGTTAGAGCTATATGCTCAGAAGAAGTAATTGAAGATAAATCAAGCATTGTATATGATACTTCGATTGAAAATAGCTAACTATTCCGACAGATTTATCAAGAAACACATGACAAAGAAAGCGGAAAAGGACCACTCACTATCTGTAAACAAGAAGCCATTTTATATACGACTACAATTCGAGGGCACTATACCAAATGAGATAATTACGGGGAAATTAAGAAAATCACTTCAAAGAACTTTTAATGCTGGTGAACTACACGTCTTATGCTCCACACGACTGATGGTGCCACCTCGACTGAAAGATGAAGTACCTAGACTAGCCACTTTTAATTGCTTCCTCAAATTCAACTGCGCTTGTGGAGCGAGTTATATTGGCCGTTGCTCTAGGAACTTGATTTTTCGTGCTTGCTGGGGAACATCTCCCAGTATGGCTAAGTAAGGTGTAGTGAAAGCCATTAACAGTTAGATATTGGACCATCTGGTGCAAATCGGCCACAAAGCCAGCCAGCGTGGAAGTATCCTTCTCTACCATATACCAGGTGCCCAAAAAATTGCTAAAAACATCTAAGCACCGCATGCTCCAAACACAAGACGCTATTGCAATTTGCCCCAAACAACCAGTGCTCTGTGTGCAAAAGAAGCAAGTTCAGCCAGGCCCTATAAATTCATGAATTCCTTGTATTATTATCTTTCCTAATTTTTCTGACATTCAGTTCATTTTATGTTGATGCTATTCAACTGCAATCCATTGATATTATTGATTCGATGTTATTTAAACAACATTAATGTTGTGTTCATAACACTAATTCATTCATTCATTCACTATAATGGATGGATATATAACTGTAGAGCCTGATGAAGAAGAGGTTATCGAAAAGAGTATTCTTTGTTCAGTATCCATTCTTTTGAAAAACACTCATGTTTATAAGCAACAGATTAGCAGTTCATCCGTATGTACGAGATTACAGAGAGTTGTCATCTGTTGTGATGGCAGCAGTCAGTGGTGGTGGTTGTCAGGGATAGATGACCAGTGTTATTTCCATCTTCCTTTAAAACTGTACCATAAACTTACTGATGGATGTGGTGACCTAATCGACTTTAACGATTTATGGATTGGCTTGTTACACGCTCGTCAAATTAGAGTAAGCGGATGATATTATGTTGTCAAAACACCTGGAGCAGAAATCTTCGAATACTTTGCGTGTGATCCATCCCTGTCAAATGAAAGTAAGATGATGTTAAAGGACTAGTCTGCATGGATTCCCTAGCTTAAAGATAGAAGTGTGAAGTGGTAGAGTGTGTTGACTGGTTCACTTGTAACAAGAGAAGACAAGGGCCAGTCAATAGATCGTTTATTATGATAATCCACACATATCTAAAGATTTTCATGTACATATTATAGATTATTGTTAGCAGAAAACACACAGTCTTCTGATTGGTTGTTTCTTACTGAAAGTTAACCTTGCGTCTCTTTGTGGCTGTTTCTTGAATGTCAGATCATCCACATGTTAACTGTATCCGCCTACGCAAAGCCTTTGTTCATATTTTTCTCACGACCACTAATATTGGGGACATAAACATTGACGTAAATTACTATCCACCAATTTCGGCTGACAGCCAACTCTCACGACACACTTACTTGAAAAGTTGCATCATTCTCAATGGACTCATTGATGACGAAATCTCAGCACGCACATAAAAGGTTTGTATATATCATTTGCCAACCTATTTCATCTCCAGTGTAGACGTGATATCCGGCAGTCAATCAGACAACATGTGTACTGAGCACTAGTTCGTTCCGTCCTCCTTTGCGACTGTGACAAATGAAAGTAGAAGATCGGAAGAGGTTATCTGTCTTTGACCACAACTGTTTGTCTCCCCCGTTCAGTGATATATGGTGAGTAATGATAAGGTTAAGCGAAGAGTGTTAGCTAAGTAGTGAAAGACAGTCGATGAGGTTGTGAAACTGTATGGATTGAGTGAGTAGGGTACGTGTTATGCACCGCAAATCATCACCTTCCTCGTCGTGTAATGTTACCTGACACAGTACTAGTTTGGAAAGGAGGTAAGGGTGGTGAAATTAAGATATTGTATCTTTCCATAGATTTTTTGTTGGTTTGAACCACGTAGGTGGGCAGGGTTCCGACTGCCCGACTAGGTTAGGACATGAAATGTAGCTGATATAGTTCAGATGAAACCAATCTCTTTGTACATTTCTTATATCTACACTGCATTTTCATTATTCTCCAGGTATTCTCTCCAGATTTCAAATTAAATATCTTAGCGTCAATTCTCATCAACCAAGCAACATGGTCCAAGGTTCGACTCCCAGCCGGTGACAAATACTGATAAACCTCGCTTAGCCGGTAGGTAGTAAGCACAGTAAAAGGGGAATGTTGAGCATTTGCATGTGTGTGTGAGAGAGAGAGAGAGGGTGGCTAGCAAACCTACCCCGTAAAACAGAACAATAATACCATAACCGCTACTGAAACTTCAAGACTTCAAAACTTGAAACTCCAAAGAAATGTTTTAAAGACAGAATGCGAATGACAGCTACTACAACTTGGCGTGATGTTGTCTGGATTGCAGAATCTCAATGATCCAACAAGCTACACTAGCTGGAACTAATATTCTTACAGATCCTATCATACCAGAAAGATTGTAAAAATAGCAACTAGACTAAAAGTAGTTACCGGTATAGTGTAGGATATTTACACTATACTTGAGTCCAAGCAATCGACAGGAAAATTTAAGAATTCAATTAAATAATTAACATGACCCGTTCCACAAGAAAGAGAGGTGGCTCTCGTGGCCCAAGTGGTCTAGTGGATAACGCTTTGGCCTTTGAAGCTATGGGCACAGGGTTCGAGCCTCGGTGGGAACATCACCACTCACTGGGGAATGCAGGTGTTTCTATTCACTTGACGAATCCCAAATAAGACGAAATGCGCATTCTGGATTCCACTGCTAGTCACCATCCATCCACCAATTAACCTCTAAAGTTATACTAATTTGAAAAAGGGATATAACAACTGCAGTAAGATGTTTTCAAGAGATAGTGACCAGCATATCAGCAATGCTTATTCTTCATTCTGGAGACCAGCGATGGTAGTGAGTTAGAAAAGATCGACCCCAAAAATCATTGGTCCTTGGCCAGTGGTAATTTGCTAATACGGAAACCAACTCGAATGAAACAATTCAAATAGACCACGTATGTAACCAGCTGTGAAATTACATCGACTGAGATGGTTAGGACATGTGTTACGTATGCCTAGTCATCGATCACCTTCCTTGACGGGCAATGTTAGCTGATATAAGGTCAGGCTGGAAAACAGCTAATGGCGGTCAAACCAAAACATGACACCAGTCAATGAAATCCACAACAGTTAGTTTAAGCCATCCACGTAGGAAGGTGTGGACTGGCTTCCTGTTTGAGGTCTTCGGGACGGTAAAAACCAATGGCTGGAAACAATTGGTGAAACGGCTCAAAATCGTTCTCAATGGCTAGCGCAGATGCATCCACTCCTTGCGACTTATGATTTCCAATGAAACTGTTTTGTTCTTCGTTACTACTATTCGTTTATCTCACACCTCTGTTTACTGTCTCTATTATGCATTTCTTCTACTTTCTTCTGTTGCTTTGTGCGCTACAAGGAGGGAGTGTGGCGACTTGAACTGGTGCACATCGGTGCAAAGTTCTATGTCGAAAACAGACAGACAGACAGATAGCCTCAAACAGTTGTCCCTTGGACCCTACAGTCAAGCAACACTATATCTCTTTGTGTTTCGGATAGTCATAGAAGACAGGAAGTAACAACTGCTCACACACACACACATACACTTTCAAAAGTACTCGAAGCTCTTCTATCAGTTAGTATTAAAAACAATAAAAAGAAATGATGAGACAAATTATCTTCACAGGTATTTATTATTATTATTATTGTTATTATCTTGAATTATAATTAAAATACGATACATGTACATTTAGAAGACACGGAAATACACAGACACACACGCGCGCACACACAGTTACATAATAAATATATACTCACATACATAAGACATTCATCAAAAGAGAAGGAATTTCCTTAGAAAAATACATCTATCTTACCCTCTTTATAATTGATTTATGGGGTATTTATCATATATATGTATATATTCACAAGAATAAGCACGATGATGAGTGTATCTCTCAATTTTCGTTTTGTTTTGACCAACAACCCCCCTATCCCCCCACACACACACACTGACACTCACGCACACATACACACTCTAGAACTTTCAAAAATCTCTTTCCCTCCCTCCCTTACTCACTCACTCACACTGTCTCTTTTTTCATCAAAATGGTGGTCCATTAGGTGGCCATGTTTTAGTCATGACATCATCCGTAGATGAAGGCAATGAATTCATTGGTGAATAATAAAAGGAATAATAATATTCACATTGAATAGCTTCATCAAATAAAGATAAAATAGAATAGTATAAGATATGTAGTAATGATGAAGTTGTCCTACAGCCTATCACTGTTCCAGATGATGATGATGATGTTGGTGTTGAATAGTCATCATAGTCGGTCTTTACAGAGGTCGACAATGACGATGATGACGAAGGTGACGGCGACGAAGGCGATAAAGGAAATGCAAATTGTATAAATAAGCAAATAAAATAAAATAATAAAAATAAAATAAATAAAATGATTAAAAATCTTATGAATAGACGCTTTATGCGATTCAGTAAATATTTTATTCGATATAATGTTGATGAGGATGATGGTGATGATGATGATGACGATTGAATTCCCGCGAGATTATCTTCTGCATTCTTAGAAGAGATACCACCTGAGAACGATGCCAATGACAAGAAGAAGGAAGAGGAGGGTGATGATGATGATGATGCCTGGAATAACTCTTCTGATGGATTACTATGAATCAGATCGATACGATTACGTAACAATGTACACAGATGATGATAGAATCGTTCATATATACTTTGATGTAGTAGTGAAGTAGCCATACTGTTGCACGGAGAATGATTGTCAATATTCAAAGTTGTTCTGTTCATCAATATTAAATGCATTATTTTAGCATAGAATTGTTTAATTTTTTCATAATATATTAAATAAGAGGAGGTGATGGACAGTGGTGCAGATGTTGCATCATCATCATTAGACATTCTTCTTATACAAGATGAATTTTTATGTAGGACAGGAGAAGTTAGCGGTGAATTCATAGAATCATCAATTATAGTTGTTGTTGTTGTTGTATTGGTTATCTCTGATAAATCATGATATTGTTTGATAAGACAAGGAAGAATTTCGTTGTTGTCGACATCTCCACCTTCTTCTAGTTGTTGGTGTTGTCGGCGTCGTCGTTGTTGTTGTGGATGATATTCATTCACTGATGATTGAATTAAATTCAAATGTTGAGTAGATATAACTTCAGTAGATGGCTTTATAATTGTAGTCATAGGAGTACTAGTAGAGGTAGTAGCAGAAGTATTATTATTAGCTTCTTGAAAATGATAGAATTTTCTATGAGAACGTTTATTACGTGTAGAACTGTGTACACTATGAATTGTACTTTCACTAGCACCAATCGATGTACTATCTGAGCCTAGAATACTCTGTGTTACTGTTGCTCCTGCTGCTGTTGTTGTGATTTCAGATGCCCAAGAAGATTCAGTAGTTTGATAAACACTAGATAAAAATCAATACAAAAAGGAAAGAGAAAAGAGAAGAACAGAAATATATATATATCAGAATTTATTGATCTCTATCGGTGACATTCAATTGATGATTTGATCGCCTAAAAAAGTTAGTACCTCTTATCAATTGTAATTTATTTCGTCATGAAACAAGGTACCATCACTTATAGAGCACTAAGGAGCATTGGACAGCATTTTCGTCCTATTTTTTTTGGGGGGGGGCTCTTCATCAGTGCGTACCCTTGATCTAACAACCAGGGATTGAACTCTGGACCTTAAGGTCACGATACCAACTTTGTTGACCAACTATTCAACCACTTAGGCCGTTGGAATTCAATCATTCGTGAATTTTTCTTACATTTGTCAACGAGCTTGGCGCCGTAACCGGAATAAATGTTTTGGCGTTAAATGCCTGTTTAGTTGTGGTGTCATGGGTGCGCGCACACTAGTGATAAAGAGACCCAAACTACGACGAAACAGATATCCAATACTTACTGGTGCTTTTGAAATGTAATCTGTCAATACTATTGATTCAGCGTAATTCAGAAACAGTATTATTGAAGTTAAAAACACTAATTTTTAGAATTATTATGGTCAAATAACTGTAGAACCTAATGATGAAGTTATCGAAACGAATCTTCTCTGTTCATTGGTCAGTCTTTTGAAAAGATTAGTTATTAAAATTGATATGTATATATACATTAACCCAAAGAATAAAGACATTATTTTTTTAACACAGGACATATATACACAGACGACATACAAATATACACAACCACAGACGTATATATATACAGAAATAGAGGGAAGCACATTTTTACACTTACATATAGGCAAAGCAATGAGGTTAAAAGTCCCGTGATAATGCATGTCCTGCCTGAACCATTTGGAAATCAAATCATGAAGTAAAACAGAAAAAAATTCTACCCTATAAAGAGCCACTACAAGTAACCTTTAAACTGACCTTGACGCAACCAATCATAATATGGAGGGTTGCTAGAATTTATAGATTTATTAATAAATTAAACCATACATATAAATAGTGAAAATATTCATTCAGACATCTATAAAACACAAAATAATTGAGCAAAGAATATCCTTTTCGATATATTACTCTTCTGGCTGTTGTTATTGTCTACTAATCTAGAATATTCTATGTATGCGAATAAATTATATATATATATATATATATTCACATACATAGAATCTCCTAGATTAGTAGACAATAACAACAGCTTCGTGCCCTTAAAATACAAACGCAATCTGATAAATTGCTTGGTTCACAGAGCAATCTGCTCGAATGAATGTCTTGATGAGGAACTTAGTAATATTGCACGATTGCTGAGTGAAAACGGTTATCCAGAAAGGTTTATTGACAACGTTAATGAATCTAAAACCAAAGCAGTCCAAGTTACTAACAGTTCCAAAAAAGACCTTATTCTTACAAATACAATTCCTTGGGCACAACACCAGCGAGATACTAACACAGCGCCTTAGAATTGCGGTGAAAAGAGCATTTCTTGCTGCTGAGTTACGCTTTATCTTCAAAACCACTCTTCTTTTGCGTTCAGGAGTAAAAGACAAACTGCCTAACTTCGCCTCTTCCATGTGTATCCTGTGGAGTCAGTTACACAGGCCGTACAATTAGGCGTGTTTCTCGTCAAAAATCCGAACATCACCCTGCGCGGTTGGTTAAGTAAATGACAAACAAAATCTATTCACAGCGCTATTCTATCTCATCTTGTGGATACAGAATACAAGATTGATGTTAACAAGGCGGCTTTCAAAGTCATTTGCCGCATACCGACAAATCTTAACTTCGCCTTAAGAGTTCGATTACTAAATATTGCTGAGACTGGCTGTTGGGATCCATATTAACAAGCCTAATTTGAGCGTCTAAATGAAGTTAGCTGAGACATTGTCCTTACCTTGGCCATCTAGGTTTGAGTGATCCTCAATTTTTAGGGAATTTTCCTAATTTTAGTTGATATTCTATTTGCTACTATATCTTTATTATTATTATTATTATTATTACAGCATCTTTAATGAACTGTAATTTCATTGTGATCTTACTTAACAAATCGATATTATTTAAAAAACACCAATATTGTTATTGACTACTATTCTAGAATATTCTATGTATATAAACATCAAATATAGGTATAATTGTAGAGCCAGAAGAGGAGGAAATTATCGAAAAGGATATTCTTTGCTCAATTATTTTGTATTTTATAGATATCTGAATGAATATTTTCGCTATATATACATTATAGACAGTTTAACTTTGCGTTCTCCGGAGAACATGTGCATACAAAGTCTAATGTAATCAACTACACAGAAACATGTGAAAGAGCATACGCACACGTAGACGTAGATATAAAAGCGACACACACTGTCGAGTTACACCTCCAAGTGTTGATTCGCAGGAATTTCACTGGTTACAGATTTGAACATTGCTTGGTAGAGAGTTAGACAACCCTCGTAAAACTACGGAGTATCGAACTCTTCAGCAGTACGCATCCACCACCACCAGGCTTCAATCCCAGTATGTCCTGTAGACTAATCAGCCATTGGAATCCTATCCAATGACCAGTCTGTGAATTACAACTTTTGCGATCATCAGCTAATGCCATAGGTGAGTAAGTATCCGACTTCCTGACTCCGTGGAGCCTGGTGGTCACAACTTCTCATTATAGTACTCGGCTAAATGGTCTACGAGCTCACCCTGGGTGTGAACTGCTGAATAACTGCAAGCTAGAACGAAATAGTTGTCAAGAATTCCCTGATTTCCCACTAGTTTTCTAGTCGATGTCAGCTAGTGATGAAATCTGTAACCGATGAAATACTTGCAAACCAACACCTGAAAATCTAGATTTAAATATGTCACCTATAATCAAAGAGAAGGAGTTGTCATAAGGTCTTCCCTGTAGGATCTCTCCTAGCTAATGTTATTATGGTGAGCTTAGAGAATGGTCCATTGATAGAAGTTATCTCAAGTTTGCATATCCATCCATATAGACGACAATTTTATCACGACATAGCGCGACCATTTCGCAATGTCTTCTTCGATGAATTACTGCCTCATCTTCAACCTGCTGCCTTGTAACCAGAAGGTCCTGGGTTCTAGCCCCGGTGGGTGCGTACTGATGAAGAGTCCCAAACCAGGACGAAGTAGCTGTCCAGTACTCCCAGGTTTTCCACTGGTTCTCTGACTGGTGTCAACTAGTGATCCAAACTGCTAACCAACACTTGAAAATCAATCTGAGGTTCACTCACTGGTGGTTTGGTTCTATACAGAAAGTTACCCGACAATCATTCCAGTGAGAAATCATGACCAATAGGATCCAACAAGTCAGGTAAAAGAGGTTAGTATTACTCACCTTCCAGGAGTGAAACCTGGGACCTTCACAAGTTATGAGGTCAAAAATCTCCTCGATCATCCACACAGCCACAGTCTAATCAAAATACCCACTACAGTCCTACCGGAGGTCAATCGCGAACCCGAATAGCTGTGTTAACGTCGCTGACTTCAGCACTGAGTGACTTGGGTTCGAATCTCAGAAGGGATATCAGTTCCTTCAAGGTTGCAGATACGCCTTGATGACTGGTGAGTTCCAACTAGCACGAAACCTAGGTGTAACCAAGGCTTCCTTTGGCCGATTGCCTCCAACTATCCAATATCATCAAAATGAATATACACCGTGATGGCGAAATACCTGGTGGCATGGTGGCCATATTGCAAACCTGACTGATAGAATTCAGTCCGTAGGAAAGAAAGGACTAGACATGTCGCACTAGTTACTGACTAGTGTTCAATCAAAACAGCCACTCTGAGAGGCAGAATTCAAAAGCCACTTCGCAAGTCATCCGTTACAAAGTGAATAAAGTTTACAACACAGAGATAGACAGTTTATGATATATGTAGGGAGAAGGAAGAGATACAGTGTGTGGCAGGCAATGATGACAACCAGTGAAGCCTCATGCACAACACAACACCATAACAATACAAACATATGAACATAAAACATTTTTAAAAAATGGTGGGAAAGCATAGTAACAACGACAGTGGGAAGAAGAACAACAACAATAACAACAAAAGGAACACCCAATGTAACAAAAACGACGCATACATGCATACAAGATATATAAAGCGATGAACGGGAACACCACATATAACACATATATAACATGAAACTATAAAATGACGATGATTATTTTATTTTTACTTTGTTACTTCGTCAGACGACTCAGAAACCATAGAGACACTAGAGTGTGAAGTGACTGAAACCTAAATTTATTCAAGATTACATACATACATATAGAAATCAATCAATAAATCAATAAATAATACATGCAAATGACGAATAAATTAATATATAATGATAAAGACTTGATAACTTTGAAGGAAGAGATTGTAGAAATAAGATGGCAACCAGCATTGAACAGATGTTCAATTATTGCACTTCTTGTAGCTACATTTCCATTTCGTTGTGATCACGCAGGATAGTGTTCATGCAACCCCTTCTTGGTTAAAATCGACGTTGAACGATCATTATATAAATTTTGTCCTTTTACATTCCCAGTGGAATATAGAGCTTCAAAAGCTTGAGCTTTGAAATTCTGTTAGCAGTGATGTTAATTTTTCCGGGGTGAGGTTGCGTGCTTCACGTTAAACCTTCCCTCTTTGTTGACTATGCCTACCGGCCAAGCGAGGTAAAGGAGTGCGTTTGTGGCCGGGAATCGAACCCCAGACCATATATGCATGGTTGACAAGCGTTATGCCACTGAACACCACCAACGCAAACACGTCACTGAACAATAAAATAATCAACTTGAAAAAAAGCTACTTTTAAGGATGCTGTTGTGAATGCCTTTTACTGAGAGACTGTAAGATCCCTCTTTTAAGGATATCAACAGCTAAGTGATAATTCAACGCAGGTTTTGTCCAAGTGGATGCGAGAACACTATTCTGTATGGGTATGAAGATGTGGGAAGTACGCGACTATGACTGAACACAAGTGGTCGATACTGGCCACCATCTTATTTGTACAACCTCATTCTTTTGAAGTCATCTAGAAGGCGAACTATAAACTGTCCAACTTATCTATATTGCTGAAACTTTGGCCACTGAAACAGAAATGCCAGAACTTCGTATACAGCAAAAAGTCTTTAAATGGTCTTAATCCGTCTATGCTGAACCGTTTTAACTGCTGCACTCAGCATAAGAGACAAGATCCTGATCTTCAATACTTCTGCATAGTTCAAAGAGTTGACAGGACTGTCATGAAGAGTATTTCCGACAGGGGCTTACTTCTACTACAGAGATTTATCAACAACAGCTAATCGCCTTCACCACTACTGGCTGCTCACCAGTGAATATCAGGCAGTCAGTCAGTCGGCAGAAAGGATAAGCAGCAAGGAGGAACTCTAATAGACGGCATACCAACCAGTTAAGAAATATGCAGAAGGAAATGGAGATGAATTGGAGACACTCTGATGATGCAATTAGCGCGACCTTAATGTGAAACCCGAATGTGAAACAACCAGTTGAGTGATGATCAAGGGTGTAGGGTGACATGGAGAAGATCTTATGCAGACGAAGTTGACAGCCGATGGGGAATTATGAAACCAGCTAGGCAAAAACTGCAGAGAATAAAGAGAAATGAAAGCATTCTATTGAAGTCTTATGTTCCACTCAAAACCCAAGAGAATAACAATGGCATGTATAATAGGGAGACAGAAGTGTAGCTTATTTGACTGAGTTTCATATGACAATCCATGGATGTAACGAATGGATGAAAAAATGGTGCAGATCTTTGTTTCTTTTAACCTTTTTTTCTCATTCCCTCATCTACCTTCCTTAGGAGTTAACAACTTAAAAACTTTGGTGATATTTTCGTTCACCTCCCCCCCCCACTCATGTCTTCCATGCTAAACAACATCATGTGAATAGATATGAGGCGTAGAAGAGCCTAAAAACTAGCGGATTCAGTAATTATTATTACTATTATTGTTCCCTTGCGTTCCGAGTGGAACATAGGCTTGGCTTCAACAACACATCTCCAATTTGTTTTGTTTTATACCGTCCTCTTCAGCTGGATCCACGATTGACCAAACTCTCTCATCTCTTCCCCCACACAATCTCTCCTCTATGTCACCCTAACACCGATAACCCACTCGTAGCTTTCCCATCGGGATTCCACTCAAGAGCCTGGCGTGCAATGTCATTCAGCAGCCTCCTCAATGTATGCCCGATCCATTTCCACTTCTCCTACATATTTGTTGAGCGATCGGCCCCTGGTTGGTTTGTTCCCATAGTTTCTTGTTGCTTATTTCTTTCTCGCTGGCTATTTTATCTTCAGTATGAAGCCAGCGAAAGCGACTGTTGATGAAAATCTGCAACCGGTTGGAAATCCTTTTGTGACAGGCCAAGTTTTTGACCCGTATAGAAGAACTGACTTCAGACTGGTGTTAAAAACCCGAATCTTGTTCTTCATGCTGGTTGAGTTAGTGCAGAAAACTTCCAAACTGGTTTCAGGTTGGTGAAGGTGTATCTTGACTTTCCGATTCTGCCTAGCTTTGACATTTTCGTCCGTTCAGACTGCCTGTAGCTAAAACGATGCTTCCTAGCAGGATAAGTGCAGAAGGCAACCTCCGTTAAATTTCTCCCATTGATGGTGATTGGTGCTGGTTGTTTGTTGTTGTTGCTGTTGCTGTTGATTGGTTATTTTCATTCATCACCTCTCCGTCTTCTCTGGGATTCAGCAATATACTCAAAGCTTATTTTCATGTGTTTCTGTTTGTCTGTCTGTCTATCTCTTCTAAACGAAATGTAATTCGCGATTTAATTTCCTAATTTACACAAAGTTCGAGGAGGTGAATTCGCACCACAGTTTCCATTGGAAACCAAAATTATTCAGATCGTAGTTCATATTGTGGTGAGAGCAGGCTGCTAACCAAGTGGTAGACATTAATCTACGTCAATGTCTAGGTCACTAATATTGGCCGTGAGAAAATATGAACAAGGCTGATTCAACAACCAGCCACAGTGGACTTAACGTGGGCAAATATGATTTGCAGATAGATGGCTCCACTTTTCGATGGTTACCCGAAACAATCAATCAGAAGCTTGCGTTTGTTTGCTTGAATAAACTATAATAATGTATGTGAAATATATATAAATACGTGTTGATTTCCGTAATAAAACGATCTGTTGCCGGTCCTTGTCTTCTGTTGTTACAATATGAGCACCCTGATGTCACAAATGGTAACAAAGGAAGCAAAAAAATTGCATAAAACTATATACTACTGATTACTGTTGAGATGGACAGTATTATACTACTCAAATCAACTAGTAGTAGTACCTGCTAGCCAGCTAGATCAAAGTGATCTAAACACACCAGATAAACGTTTCACTCGTTTGGGACTGACCTACCTCATCAGCGGTGTGGACACGGTATGACTCAGTGCTCAGAAGCACCGAATCATCAGTCCCAACTACCAGAAATTGGGTGATTCGAAATGATCTGAGTCAAACCGGGTGCAGATGACCCTTTATGTGGCTGGGTAGCAAGCACTACTGACTGATATTGTGGTGAGAGCTGTCTGCTGGCCAACGTTGGTAGACAGCAATTCACGTCAACGTTTACGTCCCAAATCAGGGTCATGAGAAATAAACAAGAACAAAGTCTAACCCTGAGGAACTCAACGACCAATCGCAGCAGACTTAGCGTGGGCGGATACGATTCGCAGATATATGGTCTGACCTTCAAAGAAACGGCCACAAAGAGATGACAGAATAACCTTCAGCAGGAAAACAACCAATCAGAAGACGCTGTTTCTCTGCTAATAATAATGTACATCAAAATCTATAAATATTTGTTGATTTTCTCAATAAGCGATCTTTTACCGAACTTTTGTCTTCTGTTGTTACAATATGAGTGGTATACAGCTACTCATTTCAGTCAGTTAATAAGTACTGTATAGTTTTACTTCCCCTATTTTACGAAATTATAGCAACAAGAATTGATACACTTTGGTTAGAGGATCTATACATTTATGGGTTGCTCATTAATCATTTTAATCAATCAATCAATCGGCAGGTCAATTAATTAGTCAGAAGATTATTTGAGCTAGGTTTTGAACCAGTAAACTGATGACGACAGCAATCAAGAACTGTGGATTTAAAGTGTTGGAATTCCTCAGGTGATGTGGGTGTGAGATGGTTGATCTGATTAATAAGATTTTCTAATCGCACTTGAGTATGCAATCGGTTGACTTTGAACGAACTGTTACAGAATTTGGGGTCCAGTGATAGATAGGGCTTGCAGTTGAGTTAATTAAATACATAAATAATTAAATACATATTTATTGGGATCAGTCGGAAATCTGGAAAGCGCTTAGGCGTAACCGTATATGTCCAAATTCCAAAACATTAAGGCGCCATACACTTAATCGTATTGATGCAATCAGTTCTCATGTTGTAGAGCCAAACAGGAACATATCTCTGAGTCAAGTCACGTTCTGTTTGAACATTCAGCTGATAAGTGCCAGCAATTAGAGGAATGCGTTTCTTTTGTCATCGAAAAACAGTCCCAGTCGGCTAACCTCAAGCATCTTGACAGCCTCAAAAGCAAGTAGTAGCAGAAGAGATTTCCGACTGATCCCAATAAATATGTATTTAATTATTCTTCCGTCACTCTTTCTGAAACTCAACTACAAGCCTTATCATCACTGGGCCCCAAATTCTGTAACAGTTAGTCCAAAGTCAACAAATTGCATACTCAAGTGCGATTAGAAAATCTTATTAATCAGATCAACCATCTCACACCCACATCACTTGAGGAATTCCAACACTTTAAATCCACAGTTCTTGATTGCTGTCATCATCAGTTTACTGGTTCAAAACCTAGCTCGAATAATCTTCTGAATAAAGAGCATATAGACCAAATTAATTAGTCCGCTAGACAGGTAGATAAATATGGATAGAACACAAAGAAAGTCAATCAAGTCACATTGGCTTTCACAAAAAAAACATATAACAGATACACTCATAACACAAAAATGAAAGAAAAATAAAACCAAGTCATACCAAATCTTCTATATTGTCGTCAGTATCCGATCCATTTGAAAGATTACTTTCCTGTAGGAGGAAAAATAAGTGAAAACAAAGAGGTGAAAAGGGTTGGGAGGGGGGGGGAGAAAATTAAAGTCAGCTAAGATAGATGACACTTAAAAAGAAAAGAATTTAAAAAACAAACAGACGAACAAACAATGAGACCAGAAATTATTTCGATTGTTAGATTTCGTCACAAACCAATACGTCAGTTAGACAGATCACTAAAAACTTGACAACCATTTCGTCCTAGGTTGGGACTCTTCAACAGTACGCACCGACGACCAACAAGAACAAAGTGGCTATTTAATGATGGATATTCTGAATTTCTATAAGGGGGGGGGGAGTTGTGGTCACGCGTGGCGTTCAGCACAGGTTTTTGAATTATAACCCACTGACTAGAAAAGGTCAATAGACTCCCCTGATATAATCTGAGGCTTTCAGACTGAATCCCCCTCCTGTTGGAGCTGGTGGATGAGTGCTGTTGAACAGCAGTTCTAAGTAAGGACGAAACAGTGCTCCTTAGTTTATTTTTAAAATAATGACTCCTTTTGGGAATGATATTGATCACTTCATGAAGAGATCCAAATTGAAATTAAGCCTAACAATTGCGTTCTGAGTGTAGAACATACACCTTCAAGCTTGAGCTTTGAGTGGGTTTTTTACTGGGTGAGGTTTCTGGTTTCATCCACAACCTTCCCTATCTTTGCCTGGTTTAAAATCGGCTAGAGGAGGTGAATGTGTGAGCCGGCGGGGTTCGAAACCCATACCACAGGCATGGTCGACGAGCATCCTACCGCTGAGCCGCTGGCTCACACAATTTGGACATTACTCGACATGGAAAACGATGACTTGATATGCGTAACACATATCTTAGCCATGTCACAATTGATACAGATTCCCAACCTCATCGACTCACTTTACTGACTCACCTAAAGATCTTTAACTGTGCCCATTGAAGTTCCAAAGATGAAATAAATACGAAGAAATTAAGAAAATCAGTTCAAAGAACCTTTAATGCTAGCGAACTACACGTATTATTCTCTACAAGACCAATGGTGATTCCTCTACTAAAAGATGAAGTACCTAGACTATCCATTTCAAATTGTATCTACCAATTCAACTGAGCTTGTGGAGCGAGTTATATTGGCCGTTGCTCTAGGAACTTGATTTTTTGTACTCGAGAACATCTCCCAGTATGGCTAAGTAAAGGTGTAGTTAAAACCATCAACAGTTCAATATTGGACCATTTGGTGCAAGCCAGCCGGCCACAAAGCCGGCTAGTCAGCGTGGAAGAATCCTTCTCTATCATCTACCAGGTGCCCAACAAATTTCCAAAATCATCGAAGCACCGCATGCTCCAAACAGCAGAAGCTATTGCAATTCGCTTCAAACAACCAGTGCTCTGTGTGCGAAAGAAGCAAGTCCAACCAGCCGCTGCTACTGCCCTGGCCAGCCTTCAGTAGAGACTAGAAATTCATGAATTTGTACTATTATCTTTCCTAATTTTTCTGACATTCAGTTCATTTTATGTTGATGCCATTCGACTGCAATCCACTGATATTATTGATTCGATGTTATTTTAACAACATTAATGTTGTTCATAACCCTAATTCATTCATTCATTCACTATAATGGATGGATATATAACTGTAGAGCCTGATGAAGAAGAGGTTATCGAAAAGAGTATTCTTTGTTCAGTATCCATTCTTTTGAAAAAATTTTAATGGGCATTTTTAATCAGTTAAACCACTGTTACCAAAACTTCAAAACTCTAACTTGAAGTCCTGCGTTTCACTTAATACAAAATTAATTTCTGCATTACAAAACTTTATTTACCATTCTAGCAAGCAAACTGTGACTTACCTGTAAGCATGGATAGTGTAGTGAAGAATCTACAATCGACTGTGAGTATGTCGAATCTATCAGACTTAAACAAGAAGTCGACTTGATCACTGAGTCATCTTTAGCATCCACGACTGCTTCATTATAATTTTCATTTTGAATATCATTCTGCTTCTGCTTCTTCTCTCCCTGCTTCACCATCTTCAACGTCGTCTTCTTGTTCTTATTATCAAGATCATCATGTTGGTGTAAAAAGCCTGTAAAACAATCAAGTGAATTCGTACGACTTCTTGGTGTAGTATTATTTAACGATGTCATTGAAGAGTACAATTCATCGGTAGGTTGATCAGCAGCTTTCAATCGTCGATGATTATTTCTAATCATTGAATTATACGCTAATATATATTCAGTGAGTAGGCTTTCATTTTTCTCTAGTAAACCCGAAAAGCGTTCTTGTAATTTGATCAAATCAATCTTTAATATAGTAGTAGTATTGTCATCTTGTATATTCCAATCATCCAATGAATTGTTTGAAGTTTTGAATAGTTCTACTAACGATCCAATAGTATCATCGCTCTCCATAGGGATTAGTAATAGTGTTGTATAACCATGCCAATTTGTCAAACGTAATTTAATAATACGCAATAGACGTATACAGGATAAAGGCGATAGAGACGATGTGGATGAAACTGACATCAAGGGAGACAAGGAGGCAGAGGAGCAGGAGGGAAATAATGATGCTGACAATGATGAAAGGGATCCTCTTGTCGACAATGTTGTCAATGATAATTTACCACGGACAAATCTTTCTTCTTCTTCTTCGCCGTCTTCTTCTACGCATGATTTATCCCAAGACACATCGTTTCTTCTGGCTACATAATTTAATCGATCTTGTGCATATTCAAAATGTCTTTCAAATTCGTTGATTAAATACTTCAAACTTTTCCCGTAAACAAAATTCTAGAAAAAAGTAATTAAAGGGGGATTTTAATGAATATATATATATATATATAACAGCTGCCCTCGCTGGATCCATTCTGTAGATCAAATGACCAGCCGACCAGCCAGAAAAAATTAACAACAATAAACTGAGGTCGGCTGGGAATAAACCAGAAGGCGAAAGCCTACTGCTCGACAAATATGTAGGAGAAAATTGAGATGGACCGATGAGGCATACGTCGAGGAGGCCGTCGAATGACATCGCGCTCAATGCAGGCCATCGTTCAAGTGGAATCTGAATAGGAAACGACGAGTGGGTGGTCATTGTGAGGGTGACATGGGGGAGATCTTGCGAGTTAGAGGAGATGAGAGATTATGATCAATCGTGCAGCTAAACAGCTGAAGAGGACGGTGGAAAATAAAAAAATGGAGATGTGTTCCTGAAGCCAGCCCTATGTTCAACTCGGAACCCAAGGGGATAATAATAATAATAATATACTGTCTGCTGAAGTAAATTGACAAAAACCTGGAATAAAAAATAATATTAGTGTTTTGTTTAAAAAAAATAGTTTTATTCTTGTGCTTTGAAGTTTCTATAGCGATTAGATTGATTTTGTGGGAGTATGGTTGCTAGCCTAACGCTCAACCCCCCCCCCTCCTCTTTTACCTAAGCTTATTATTTCCTTTAATTCCTAAAGGAACATACCGCTTCAGCCAAACGTCTCCATTGCGTTCGGTCCTCTGCTAGAGTTTTCACCCCGCTCCAAGTCTGTCCACATGCTTTCATCTCCTCTTCACATCACCTCCTCCAAGTCACCCCACCCACACACTGACGACCAACTCGCCGCTTCCCATTCAGTCGGGTTCCACTCGAGTGATGGCTTGTCTAGTGATATCACTTGATGATTTGTTTCCTCAGAGTATGGCCAGCCAATCCACCTACTTCCATTTCTTCCTACTTATTTGTTGGACAATCGGTTCCTGCTGGGTTGGGTTGGTTCGCTCATCGCCAGAGATCCCTTCCTGGTGTTGATATTTTCTGGCCAGCCATCTGATCTTGAGAGGAGTATTGAGCGAAGACAGCTGTAGGTGAAGGTGTGTAGTTTGTTTGAGGTGCTCTTTATGACTCACTGGCCAAGTCTCTGATCCGTGTAGTAAGTAGTACTTACTGACTTCACATTGGAGTTGAAAATCCGGATCTTATTTTTGATGCTGAGTGCTGTTGATCTCCTGCACACATACTTGAGAGTAATGAAAGCTTGTCTTGCTTTTCCGATCCTTGCTGCTATGATATCCTCGTCATTTCCGTCGGCCTGTAGTTGAAAGGATGCTTCCCGTGTCGGTAGGTAAAGGAGTTTGTTTCTTTCAGGTTCCTCCCATTTACGCTGGTTGATTGTTGTCTGTTGTTGTCACTGTGGCTGTTGGTGTTGGCCAGGAATCTTCATCATCAGATCTGTTTTATCCATGTTCACCTGAAATAAAGTCCTGTCTTTGATGCTTCTCCTTCCAACTTGTTGCTCTTCACATCCATATCTTCCAGTTTGTGAGAAATCAGACATATATCATCGGCGGAGTTCAGATCCTCCAAGTTTTTTGTGAGGGTCCATTTTATGCCTATTTCCTCGCTGCCCATAGCTGTCTGTCTGTCTGTCTGTCTGTCGCATTATCCAATCTACCACAATCAGATGTGGCAAAAAAATTAACTAGCCAACGAGTAAACTAGGCTTTGAAAAAGCCTCTAACAGACAGCGTTGACTTCAAAGTAATTTGGGAACTACTACTAACTACAACTTCAACACTATTGAGTGTAATTGCCCCCAATACCATACAACAGCTGGCTCTATACAACAGTGTAACATGCCAGTTGATCCACAATGGATAACTCAGCGAAGCAAGTGAAGACAGGAGTAACAGAAGGTTGTCTGTTCACTATCACCAATGATATTCCTAACCATGCGGCACGTACCGGATTATGCGGAAGACTGTAAATGCAAGTGAGAAGACAGAAATACACTGGGTCGATAAGAAGACTATAGGAGATCTGGATTTTGCAGATCATCTATGTGTACTGTAATACAAACTTGAAGACTTACAGGCGAAAACACCAACAAACTGTTCAGAGAAGCCGTAGGAAGAAGACAGGACTTCAAGCAAAACACAGAGAAGATAAAGTTGATGAAAATGCAAAACCAGCACTAATGTCAAGCCCCAGAGTCACTATCAACGGGAGAAATTTGGAAGAAATCAATTCCTTCACTTATCCAGGTGGCAGTGTTTGACACGGATGAGGATGTCAAAACCGATCAAAATGGGAAAGGCAATGAAGAGCTGCATCAATCTGATATCATATCAGTCTAGAATTCTGTTGCCCTCAGCATAGAAAACAAAACTTGGATTTTCAACACCCAATGTTTCAGCCAGTCACCTCTTTCCCATGGGTCAGGAACTTGCAGTGTACTCCACCAAAAGCATTTTGAACAGGCTACTACAGAATGTTATCAACAACTGTCTTTGTTGGCTCCATATTGAGCATCAAATGGCCAGTCGGATAGAACTAGCCTCGAGAAACTATCAGGAACGAACCAACCAAAAACCTATTGCTCAGCAAATATTCCGAAAAACAATTGGAGATGGATTGTGGATACACCGTTGGGTGACACAGTGCGTCAGGCTCTTAAGTGGAATCCGAATAGGAAACAATGGATTCGACTTAGATCTGAGGATAAGATGGCTGAGGTCGTGTGAGGCGGAGATGACAGCCTACGGGTATTTGTGGAGCCAGTTAAGTAGGAGTGTAGAGAACAGAACAGAAACAGGGATGTTCTGTGGAATCCACTCGGAACACAAGACAATAATAAGTCATATAGTAATTAATTTGCTTGTGAAATTAAGTTGACTATAATATCTAGAAAGATATCGAAACATTGACTGTTGATGATTAAACCAAAGTATTCCACTGCAATTGATTTCTTTTTTTTAAACAAAGCAGAGGCTGAAGATTATTCATTTTTTTCAATAGTCTTTTCAAGAGTTAGCTTGTAGGGATTTTATTTACTTCAGGTTTGATCATGGATTGATATCAATAAGAGAACCAGGAGATACTTAACAGCTATTTCGTCCTGCATCGGGACTCTTCATCAGCACAAACCCATGATCCCACCAGGGATGGAACTCAGGACCTTCAGGTTACAAGACTCGTTCAGCTCATCGACCATTCAGTCACTCAGGCCAGAATCCAACGGCTAACCAGTAAATTCCAGGTTCTAGCAATTCGTAATTTTGTCCTTGCCCGCCGACCTGGTGGTTCATTGGATCAGGTCTCGGGTATGAACCCCCGGTGGGTGCATACTGATGTAAACGACTTCTAAACAAGGATGAGACAGCTGCCAAATAATGCCTACGGGTTTTAAATGTTTCCACTAACCGACATCAAACTGTGACCAAATTTAAAAGAATGCTTTTTTAAAATCACGACAATGAACTGAAAATTGATTTCAGAACAATTGTCCATAATTCATATGACATAAACATTCAGTTTAGGCATTAAACTGTTTACGTAATTAATAGGTCATGCGAGTGCACACATACACATACATACATACACAGACAGTCGGAGAGACAGTACAGCTATAGCCTAGCCATCATCACATATTTTCAGTACACTTGTATAGTATATAAAGTGAAGAGTGACCACATCTAATATAGAAAAACCAACTGATCGATATAAACACAAAAACAGCTTCATGCCAAACATTCTTTTGAACCGATTAACTTATTTTTAACACCAAACTATTAATACTACCGATTTGTATTAAAAAAAAGTAGTTCTAAAGATTATTTCTCCATTCCTTTCGCGTACTGAGTGGAACATAGGCCTTCAAAGCAACAGAACATCTCGATACCATCATGTTTTAGGCAAGTCCTCTTTAACTAGACTCAACTCGATTGCCCCCAGGCTTTCATCTCCTCTTCACATGATTTCCTCCATGTCACCACTTTCAGACAAACGCCCAACACGTCGATCGCCACTCGGGTCCTATTCGAGTGATGACCTACTACCACCTGTCTCGCGCGGTATCACTCAACGATCCTCCCCAACGTATGTCCGATCCGTTTTCATTTCATGTGCGTTGTACACTATAAGTCTGTTCCCAGAGTTTCTTGTTGCTTATCCTTTCTGGCTGTCCGGCTATCTGACCTTCAGTATAGAGCGCGCTAGGCGAAGGTAGCTGCTGTTAATCAAGGTCTGGAGTAACTTGTTGAAAGAGCTTTTAGTGACACACCAGATCGGAATCTTGTTCATTATGCTGCGGAGTGTACAAAAGATCTCCAACCAAACCGACTTCACAGTGATGAAGGCTTGTCTTGCCTTTCCGATCCTGGTTATGATATTTTCATCCGTGTTATCCACTTGTAGTTGACACAATACTCCTTAAATAATATAAAAAAAGAAGTAACTTCCTTCAAATTTTTCCCGATGCTTGTTGTTTCTGGTGCGTGGTTATCGTCATCCACACCTCTGTCGTCTCTATGTTCACTTGAAGTTCCGTCTTTGTTGCCTACCAACCTCCTTTGGTCAAACATTAAACGTAAATCACCCGCGAAGTCCAGACCTTTTAGAGTCTTCCTACTTATCTGACCAACGTATTCCTGTCTTCTCGCTGCCTACAATCTGTTGCAAGATCCAATTCATCACAATTAGAAATATCCTTGGTGATAGTAGGCAGTCTTGTCTTACTCCTGCCTTCACTTCGAAGGCTTCGCTGAGGTTTCCACTATGGATCACTTGACATTTCACATCATCATCATCATCATCATCATTATCAGCATACAACTGTTGAATGAGGTTTTTAAAGGTTTGGACTAAAGGTTTCGACAATATTGAACGGAAATGTTCGGTCATTGTTAACAAATCCTCTCCCGGTATAGACGCTTTGGCGATCTTCGAACTCTGAGAAATAATCATACTAATAGTAAAAATTGTAAGGTGTTAGTTTTCAGGGGAGGGGATTTGACTTATT